GTAGGAAGACCGCTCCACTACTTTTATTTATTAAAGGTGTAAATTAAGTGTTTTATGAATTATTAATGTTTGAAATTATAAAGATAAGCTATTTCTATTATCAGAAATGTATAAAAACATTGTAAGGGATGTTTTACCACTAAAATAAAAGAAATTTGTAAGTTTCACTTAGAAAAGGTTGCTCTGCGATCTGATTGGTTGACATAAATCATTAGTGCCGTGTGCAAATTCGTTAGTGTAGTAGTTAGCCGTGTGCAAAATTTAACTATTTTGATTGGTCGAGATTGCCTATAAAAAGAGGCGTTTTTTGTGGTAAAACATTCCAAATCCGGCAATGTAAGAATAAAGCGTCAAGAAAATAAATAAGAAGAAACTCTGAAGAAGTGTTATTTATTGCTCATCTAACTGCTACTGCATGCTCTCCGGTTAACATCCCGCTTAACTCCGGTTAACTCCGGTTAACATAACGCTTCATTACTAACATTCACACACACGAGCATCAACACTCTCTGTAGTGCTACAAACGTGACATTCCTAGGTATTATTATTGACAAAGAATTAAAGTGGAAAGAACAAGTTTGTAAAATATGTAATAAAGTAAACAGATTCACATAATATGCGCTTTACTGACTAACAAAAGCGGCGACAAAACAAACTGCAATTATGACATATTTTCCGTATATTGAGTCGGTTATCCGACACGGGATTATAATTTGGAGTAACAGTGCAGATATTAATAAAGTTTTTATAGCATAAAAAAATGTATTCGTGCCATTCATGCTGTTAGTCCAGATGGCTCATGCCGGTCTCTATTTAAGACACTAGGGATTTTACCCGTGCCTTGCTTGTATATCTTAGAAGTTGCCGAATTTATAAATCAGCACGGGATGAGTTTTTATAAACTTAATAAAGAAGTGGTATCCATGAACACGAGGTACCCAGATCGGATAGTAATTAACGACATACCTAATAGTAAACGATTTAGCAAAATTTGTTACTGGATGGGTAAAATACCAAGTATAACAAAAGATCTTCCCATACAAATATTAAAAAAAATACACTAGTGGCTTCTTCAAAATACATTTTAATCTGTTAATTAGCTTTTGAATTACTGATGACAACTTTTTTTAAGACTGTAGCTCTTATTTGATATTTTATAATTAACTGAAATGGTATATAAAATTGTCTGCTTAAATTTTCTTTAATTGTTTGAATTACGGCGCCTCTACACGTTGGCCAACACAGTGGCGAATGTAGTGGCGAAGATATTGATCGAGAGTTTGTGACGGCATCCACACGTTCGAAGGTCGTTCAGTTTGCTTCGGTTCAGGCCAATGTGCGAACGAATTTATTTTATTTTAGACGACGGCTCCGTGGTGCAGTGGCTTAGCAATGACTGGCATCGCCGGGGGCCGCGGGTTTGAATCCCGCACGGAACAAGTATTTGTATGTCCTACAAATAATTGTTTCGGGTCTGATGTGTGTCCTTGTGCAATTTATGTTTGTAAGCTGCCTTCGCGATACAGGAGAAAATCCAAGTTTGGGGGTAACGTTTTTATAAAATAATTATAAAAGAATAGTTGGGGCTGTAAATAGATATACGATATACGATTAGCTTTATTTATTCTTTACATGCATCATAAAGTGGAATAAATACCATTTTTTAGAACTTAACTTATTTTAAAGTTAAAAGAGTTATAATCGATTAGTCTATATTTTAAAATTGGGGTTTGTTTTTAAAGTTTAGCAAAACATGTACTTGCTTTTCTATCAGACATTTGATGTATATAATTAATGAATTAAAATAATTAAGTAAGCAATTTAATTATTAATGATTTCTTATATTTACGCGAACAATATACATTGATTAAAACTACTTTTACGGATTTTATAGCGTTTTATTTATTTTTAATACCCGATATTTCTGGTGCTTTCTAGCACCCATGGTCACGGGGGACTGAGGTGACTGACGTCCCGATCTCAAAGTTAACCCGGAGTACCTTCAGCTTTTTAGTTATTGTCTTTGGTCTGATCTACGCACAATGAACTAACTGTGTTTTGAAGTCTTGCAGTGGTGTGCTTGGGTTTAGTTTTAATTTTATTAATTATAGAGTCCCAAGCAGGTGGTAGTACCCAGCCTCCTTCTCTATTGAAATTAGGATGTTTTTTTAATTTCAATAGCCTCACGTATCATCCTTGGTAGGAATCGATGTTCTTTCGCGAGGGTTTGTGGTCTACCAAATCTGATGTAATGGTTGGGGCCATCTAGGATATGATCGCAAACTGCAGACGTTCCGGGAAGTCTAATTTACTAATTTCTCAGACATGCCGGTTTCCTTACGATATTTTTGTTCACCTCCGAACACGTAGTAAATCTGGACTTAAAATTGCAATTGACAATTTCGTTGGTGCCGGCGGGATCGAACCCGGGTTGTTCGCGTACTGTGAAATTTAAAACGAACGCTAAGCCTCTGAGCTACCACGGTTCTTAGGTTAATGGTTGTAGATTACAGCAGCCATCCCTTATATACTCTGTTGTAATGGTTCTGTTGTTCCCCTGAGGTTAAGGTAACCGTTAATAACTAGCTCTGAGATATCTATATGAGAACTTAGATATTTACTATGCTTAATAAAATAAAAAAATAATTCCATGAAATTATTCGTAAAGATATTGTGGTGTCATCAAGAAATGTAAATAATTAGAGCCTACTTTGCAATTTTTTTCTATCGAGACAATTACATGAATTTTCATAGAATTCCTTTTATGCAATCCAAGGTCATATAGTTAAAAATATACACCAAAATTTTGGTTTGTAATCTATAACACTTAAAAAAAATGTTAAATAGAAAAACCACCAAATTTCCGAGGTATCACTTTAAGTAACTTTTCGGACATAAAGTATCGATCACAGTATATTATATGATCGTACATAAAATCATTTGTTAACGACAATATTGCCTTTTCTCCCAATCCAAATTCCGAGCCCTCAAACTCAGGATATGTAGCACCTTGAAAAATTGCAGACTAATCCCTGTGGAATGGCCAGCACGATAGATTTCAACCCTACAGGGTTGGGCTTGCCGGGGCAGTATTGCTTTATTCCACATAGTCCTTGAAAAGGTATCATCATTTCATCCACAGATAGCTTTTTCAGTTTTTCTTGTCTTTGAAATCCATTCAGAACTACATTTTATAAAGGTCTTACTTTCCACAATTTATCTTTTTCCTGTTTTTCTCTACTAACATCATCATGAACAAATTTCATTAAATTTTTAGCTGCATTAAACGATTCCTGGACATGTTATTAGCCATAATTGGCACTTTAAATTAATGCGAGCAAAACATCCCCAAACAGGGATAATTAATACATGACATTATCATTGAAATACCGAAGTATACTTTGCATATATCTAAAGTGAAATTCAAAGATTTCATTTGTCTCTAAAAATAGCTCCAGTTAGATTTTTCTACTATATTTTCATAGAACCAGCATGGTGGCGATAGCCACATTCCTGGAGGTTATTTTCATTTATGTATTCTTTGATATTATAATAACCCTTTGTGTACAATTTTTCTTTAATAAAACATTTAAACTTGTTTAATGACAAATTTTGTAAATTTCTGGGACTTTGTTGTAAAAGCGTATTCTTTTTCTTAGGGTACCATTTCTCTACGAAGGTCGACCATCATGGCTATCTTTATCTTTGAACCTGCAGCACGGAAGAGAGAGCGAGTGCTGAGGTTAAATCATTCGCAAAGGTATGGCGATCTTAAGTCAGGATATTTTTCTTCTGCCAGGTAGGTGTTTTCTCTCGGTTTTTCCTTGAATCACAAGCTGAAGAATACGATATTTGTGTCCTCGCATTATATGTCATAAATACTGCAGCTTTCTCTCCTACACGGTCCTCATTATCTTCAACTTCTTATTCTTTCGACGCAGAACCTCAACATTTTTAATCTCACAGTCCAGGATATTTGGAGCATACGTCTGTATACCCACATTTCAAATGCTTCAAGTTTTGAACACAATGTCGAGGTTAAGGTCCAATTTTCGACCTTATAAAGTAGGATACTAATACATAAAAGCGCACCAGTCTCATGCGAAGTTTTAGCTTCATAAAGGTACCAAGGGCTTGTTCTATACGGTCTCGAATTTCCTGTTCGCTACTCCATTGCTCATTTATGTAGCTTCCTAAAAAAAGGTAAAAGCGTATACATTGCCCCATAAATAAATTACTAATTCTGTGAAGTCTTGTAACGTATTACAAGCTTACGTTTGTTCCTAGTGTTTAAAGTATGAACATCAGTATTCTTATGAAAGCTATTTATGTTTTAAGTACCTACATTTGGACTCAATGGAAAGGCATGCTAAGCTCCCCCGAATTCGGTTGAAACCTTACCAGCCTCGAACACAGGCGCAAAATAGCCAGACTTTCGGTTTTCTCCCCCAGGGAATTCCACAAAGCAGCTCTGGACCAGAGCCACCTACATCCATAGACTTTCTACATGTCTTACCAAGTCGTCACTCCATCTAGTGGGGGCCACCCTCCACTTTGTCTACCGGCACCAGGCTGCTGCATACTCGAGAACCTTTCTTCCCCATCGGTTGTCTGTTCTTCAAGATATATGGCCAGCCATGACGACTTGAGCTTACTAATCCGTTGGTCTATGTCAGTTACTCTGGTTCTACTGCGGATATGCTCATATCTAAGTTTATCACGCATAGAAACCCCGAGCATTGCACTCTCCATAGCTCACTGTTGTGTTGACCTTACATATCAGTGTAATCACACTAATGTGTTATCTGTGCTGACCTCATAGAGGCAGCGAGTGGTTTTATTGGTCCAAACTGGCCTTTAATAGAATTTAAATTAGCTATCAGTAGCACGTAACACAAACAGTTGATTCCTTAATTCAGTGAATGTTTGAAGATTGCTTGCTGACATTGTGTTGTTGCGTCAATATGATTAAAACTATATTACTACTAAGTTTCTTTGTGATGGTAAGATTATTTATTTATTTTAATTTATATTAACGTAATTAAGAATCCTTAACTAAACTGATGTAAGCTATGTATTGCATACATGTGCCTCCACTAGCGCTGCAAATTTTTATTTTCCTATAGTTCGAGGTTATATTATACCTTTCAAACATAGACTTAATATTAATATATTAAGTCTATGTTTGAAAGGTATAATGCGTACTGCGTACTTTCAAATAAAGTAATTTAAAAACGTATTTAAAGTATATTTGAAATTAATATTTAAAATTTTTAAAAATAATATTTATTGCTTTGAGTTTTCATTGAAAGCCTCACGCATTCATTCTCATATTTTAAAATAATTCTGCACAAATAATACTTACTTTCAAAATATTATAATGAGGCTTAAATATGGAATAAGCCGGGTAGTCTTGGTAACGGGACGGGAATATTCCAATAAAATGGAAAAATATAACGACTATATTACTCCAATATTTTTAGTCGGGTATTTTTTTAATAGAATAGGAGTAATTAACGAGCACACAGTCCACCTGATGTTAAGCGGATGTATAGACTTACATTTATCCTCAATTAATAACAAACTGCAGATACGTTATCACCCCTGAGGACTAAGGTGGAATACCTCGTTCCAGAAAATGGGTCTCCGGTCCTCTATACTCACCATACGAAATACAGCAGCGTGAAGCTGTCATTTTATGCTGGTATACTGTGAGAGCATGGTCCCAACCCGGTTGAGCCGATCTATAAGTGCTAGAGCCATAACATTACTACAGTGTAGATCTACCACGTAAAAATATATTACCTTGTTTGTTTTATATGGGGCTTTAATCTAAACCCTTAAGAGTAAGAGACCAATGATGGTGGGTACATAAATTCTTCTTTGCCGTACGGTAAATTCGAAGTCATGCCACTTATATTCTACATTAAATGATAAATTAAGTTAATTTAGTCCGATGAATCTGTAGTCTGATGAAGCTGTAGTACGATAGGACTGTACTACAATGAAGCTTGAATACCAGCGTAAAATAGCAGCTTAATACTGCTGTGTTTCGTATAGTGAGTGTAGAGAATAGGAGAACCTTTTACTGGAAACGAGGCTTTCCATCATAGTCCTCACGGGTGACAACTCATCTGCATTTTGATTCGTAATCGAGGATAGATGTAGATGTCTATGGGCCACAGCAACCACTTACCATCAGGTGCACTGTGTGCTCGTTTGTCACCCTATCCTATAAAAAAGCTCTAGTCCGACGAAGCTGCAGCCCAACATAGAATGCCAGCTAAAATAGGGATATAATGTAAAATGTGGCAGGTGTTTCGATGGTGAGTGACGAGAACAGAAGATCCTTTTCCTTGTTGTTGATCATAATCTTCACGATTGACAATTCATCTGCATTTTGATCATTTATTGAGAATCCACACACTATGGGCCACAGCAACCATTTATTTTTAAGTGGATAGTGATCAGTTGTCATCGTCATCAAAAACTAATTACATCATACGAGTATCAGCGCGAGTCTTTTCCAGTGGTGACACTGTTATATGACGTGAAGGTTCTGTAGATGATTCGTCCAGCGATTCAAACTGGAGCTAAAATTTAAGCCATGCGTGGACTTGGCATTCGATTATGAATGGATTGCGATTAAACAGAAGCACAGAACTTCAAAGACCGTAAGATAGTAAATGAAGAGCGGGTTTACACCGATTTACAATATGAGTATTTTTATAATATTAGAGGGACAAATGATCTAGCATTTCACCTGAAGATGCTGTAAACAAAGAAGTTTTTGATATGTTGACTCGGATGATGTTTCAGTTTGATAATGTTGTCTTCCGATGAACATGTAGTCCGATTAAGCTATAGTCCGTTAAAACTGTAGTACGATGAAAATGTAGTCCAATCGATGAACCTGTAGTTTGATAAAGCTGTCTTCCGATGAGTCTGGTGTTTTTTTTAATAGAATATGTGTGAAAAACGAGCACATAGTCCACCTGATTATAAGTGGATGCTGTGGCCCATAAACGTCTACATTTATCCCCAATTAAGAGATAAAATGGAGATGCGTTGTCAAAAAGAGTCTCCGGTTCTCTACACTCACCATACGAAATACGAGTACAGTAATATTAAGCTGCTATTTTAAGCTTTTTTGGTATTCTGCGAGGGCGTGGTCCTACTCTAGTCGAGCCGACCCATTCGTGTTAGAACTGTAATATAGCTGAAGCGTGGCTCTACTACGTTTAAAACGTGTGGGGGTAACATTAAAAAAATCTGTAGTCGGATGTAGCTTTTTTCCGATGAAGCTGTAGTATGAGTTTGTGTTTGAAAATGCATGTGTAGTGTATTTGATGATAAAGCTTTCTTCAGTTAAACTGCAGTATGACGAATCTTTAGTACGATGAAGCTGTAGTTCGATAAAGATGGGGTGTTTTATTGTGTTGATAGTAGAGTGAGAAGTCGATGAAGGAGATACACTGTAATAATGAACTTCTAAATTATAGTTCGATGAAGTTGCAGCTTGATTAAGCTGTAGCTCAATGAATCTATAGTTCGATGAAGCTGTAGTACGTCGAAGCTATGGTACGATTAATCTGTAGTTTGATAGGGCTGTAATACGATGAAGCTCTGGTGCGATGGAGCAGTAGTCCTATGAAGCTGCAACCCGATTAAGCTGTAGCTCAATAAAACGGTAGTACGATAAAGCTGTAGTTCGTTAAAACTGTAGTTCGATTAAGCTGTAGTCTATTGAAGCTATAGTTCGGTGAAGCTGTAGTCAGCTTAAGCTGTAAAAGACCACTGACTAAAAGCACTAACATTACAGAAAATGGAAAAATTATACGTTGTCACCCTTGAGGACTGTTTTTATTAAATCAGCTGTTCTGTTTGTTCAAAGGCAGAAAAGGACTGACTTCCTTTTCACACAGGCTTTTGTATATTATTATTTATTTAGTAAAATTGTACTAAAATAACAAGTTGTTAACGTAATGGGATGTCTAACACTTGAAATTTTATATCAGTGAAATGTAGTTTTGTAGTATTTTTAAGAACAGTGGTTAGTGAATTGTGTATTGAATTTCAATCTTGTTTTCAGGTATCTCTTGCAGAAAGTCCCGAGCTACCACCTCCAAGATGCGGAATAATTCCGAAAAATGTATGTAATTTTTCTCTGGGATTTCCTCTGTTTATTTATAAAAATATTATTGCAACAACATCTCTTTCGCAAACACACATTTAAAATCACATTTGGGAGGCATTTTTCAAATGGTAATAATATCCTAGACCGAATTTCAGTCACAGCGAAGTTCGACCTTAACAGAAACTATGTGTCTGCGCAAGACGGGATTATAGTGCACGAATGTGTGCGCAAGCACAGGTGCTTTCTCTATTGCCTTACTCTCATAGTACGACGAAACTGCAACTCGACTCGATCGGAGACAAATCAAGGGCAGGGCAGTCGGTTCTCCGAAGGATAGAGGTAACATTTTTACTTTTGATTATTGTGGGAATCCCCGATTGGGCCAACATCTGTTATTATTGGGTTTTCTGTCAAGATATTCTCAGTAGCAGCCCGGAATCAGAAAGTTGGCGGTGTTTCACCCCCGTGCCTTGGAAAGCACGTAATGTCGTTGGACCTGCGCCTGATCTCTATCCTGTCGTGACGGATTACAGTCCCATCAGACTATGTAAGTGAGGGAATAGAGAATGTAACTGTGCTTATATCTGGACACTATCCTGTCTTATGCAGATGGCTAGTATCCTTCGAGACTGGCCACCGTGACCAATTCGTTCTGGAAGACTATATTAAAAAAAAACGATTGCATCTACATTGCATATACACACACGCACACACACACACACACACACACACACACACACACACACATACAGATACATATGCGTGGTTTTGCATACCAAATAAGTACTCCTTGAATACCTAGAAATCAAAATTTTTGAGTCATTAAGGTCTGAAGAGTGCCTTTTTGATCACTCACTTCATCACTCATCAAAAACATAGTTCTCTTCTAGCTTACATATTTCGAAATTTAATATCAAGGTAAATCATTTGGCGTATACACAGGATAAAAGTGAATACTATTTTTAAATAGTCCGGGCCGACAATTGTTGACAAAGATATTGGTGCGTCTAGTTTCAATAAAAATACCTGAAACTAGCCACACAAATATCTTTCGGCCATCACAAATATCAACTACCGCTTTAATAACTACAAATATCGCTTTTGAAAGAATGAATATTCACTAGAGCAATTGAAAGCTGTTGGTAGTACCTTATAAGCTAAGTGAACCCCGTTCACGAAGACAGGGCTCAAGAAAGGTTAAGAATATAAAACGTCCCTATTCCACTTGTATCAGGTTTACATTATTAATTTATTATTAATTATCCCTTCCCGCTTGGAAAAGGCTCACAATATATTTATACAAAATACCCGATACAAGGGCTTCGCTCTCCTACATTTATAAAGGAAGGCACACGGCTCCATACACGCCGTGCGCGGTGCACTCCCCCCGAAGGGTACGCTAATTCGGGAACCGGACCGTAGTCCACAGCAAAATAACTGGCAAATCAGTAAAAGAGGCTTGGCCCCTTGTTAGTGCGTAAGCACAAACATCGACCGAAGTCGCGCATGTCAATGCGTGTAAACGCCATACAGAATACGAATGAATCCAGCCACAGTGAATGTACGTCACACGGTTTAGGCAAATAGGCACACTGGCCTTAAACCCTCCGTGAGCGCCACCACCTGCCAGACCGCCGCTCCTACAGACGTGATGTAAGTGTATGGCATCACCACCAATTGCATGAGCAGCACGGCTACTAGCCGCAGAGCTTGTCATGAGTCTGCCGCTCACCTCAAGGGAAAGGGGCCCACGTTGTACGGCTTTCGGCCGCAGTCTTGAGAGTCTACTCAGATCCTCCCTCCAGCTACCACCCGCATGAGGTCGACACATATGCTCCACCAACAAATACAACGGCAGATATAGCCAAAAGGCAGTTATAAGATGTTAGTAATAATTTGCCATCAGAAAGGTTGTGTCACTGACGTTAAGTAAATTCATTTTAAATCATGTTTGTCTCACCCACCAACAAGTTGCCTTCAATCGTTCAAAGGTGGGAAAGTTACAGAGATATATTATTATGTTGTTATATAAAACATCATGGAGGTCAGACAGTCTGCAGCCCCGTAATGAAGGGATCCGACTTAGGCAAAGCTACTTAGGTGTGAGTCAAACCAAGACGCAGAGAGCGCCATTGAGAATAGCGTCCCACGAAACAACCATCGCCGAGACGCAATGCTGCAGAACGTAACAAGCATCAATACGACTATCGTCGGGCTTACACCATCCTAAGGTCCCCCATACATCCCAGCAGACATCACCACCCGCGTACCTCCATCGACCAGACCTACAAGAATGCGTCGAATCAGGCACAGCACAACTGCAGATCCATCACAAGACGCAAAACCACAAGAAGCAGTAAGCATCAATGCAACTATCATACGGATGGCGCCTCCTCACAACACACCCACATGATTCCTATCGACTTTGGTAACAAAGTTTGTATTGTTGTTAACTAAAAAATATCACCAACGTATCATAGTAGCACGCTACTAAGACGCCAGTGAACAAAACTCCACGTATCATAGCGCGAATGCACTAAGATATGAAGTTGAGTATGCCTGTTACACTTAAAAGTGCTACCAAACACACTCATCATCCCAATCCGAAAGATAGACGACACATCGATATGCGCTACAACACCGCCCACAAACGGTATGGGTGTACGATGTCCACGGGAAAGCCGTATTGCTACAAGAAACCCGCTTACCACCGGTACTAAGATGATATGTCTAGGACACATCGGTTAGCGAGTCGAAGTTTACATCGAACCAATTGCTCGTGAAGCAGCATACACGCTACCATAATAATCCTTTTCAAGTCCCTAATAAAGGACCAGTCATTTTGCTACAGTACTAAGAGAAGTCGGTCACCCGACCAGCCCATATTATGCTTATGCATCAAGGAGACCTTCTATAGTATTGCTTCTGTATCATAGACCTTACTTTTATAAGTCATTCATATATAGGACTTCAACCCACGACCCTACTATTGTAATGCAAATTCATCATAGAGACCTTCTATAGTATTGCTTTTGTATCATAGACCTTACTTTCATAAGTCATTCATATATAGGACTTCAACCCACGACCCTACTATCGTAATGCAAATTCATCATAGAGACCTTCTATAGTATTGCTTTTGTATCATATACCTAACTTTCATAAGTCATTAATATATAGGACTTCAACCCACGACCCTACTATTGTAATGAAAATTCATCATAGAGACTTCTATAGTATTGCTTTTGTATCATAGACCTTACTTTCATAAGTTATTCATATATAGGACTTCAACCCACGACCATACTATTGTAATGCAAATTCATCATAGAGACCTATAGTATTGCTTTTGTATAATAGAGTTTACTATCTTAGTCTCTAATATAGGACTAGTCATTGTGCTACAGTACTTCAAGCAGTCGAGCATCCAACCACCCCATATATATGTACAAAATTCGTTATGTATCTCCAGCAGCTCCTCCATACAAGCCATCATCTATACATGAACACTTACCATAACTTAGGAAAATTTTATTTTTTACACAACTCCTTCCAAGACTTTTCACAATTTTTAACCAATTTTCTATTTATCTTATAAATGTTATTTATCTTTATTTTATAATACTCGTATTTTCGACTTGTATTTCTATAATTTATCAAATTTTTAAACATGTTCACAAGTTTTTTTTTAATAAATTTGTTTATCCTGAAAGACAATATTTTGCCTTAAATTTACTATATTATTTGTGAAAAGTATTTATCTTATCTGTATGCTTATTAATGTAATTTTATTGTTTAATATATATCTTTTAAGATTATTTTTGACGCCCTCTGATATTGAATTTAATTATTAATAATAATGATGGACCGTCACAATATGCAGAAGAAACAGCGTTGGAGATAGCACGCAGCCTAGTGGAACACTAGCGTTAATGGGCTTGTGATCGGAGCATGCACCGTCTACTACGACCTTGATGCTTCTATCAGCAAGAAAACTGGTGATACAGTTGCACAATTTCTCGGGAAGCTCATAGGAAGAAAGCTTCATAAGAAGCGTTTTGTGCCAAACCCGATCGAAGGCCTTCGCTATGTCCAAAGGTGGAATTTAGTAATTGATTTTAAACTAAGTTCTGGATGAGCTGAAAACTTGAAATATTAAATAAAGCTGAAATTTAGATGACAATGCTAGAATAAACATAAAAATGTTGTAGAAAATCATTTGTTTATTAATTCCAAACAAATGTAAAAATATTTTTCCCCAGTAATTTATCTAATCTGTGGTATTGTTTGCCTCTTTCAGATATACTCATGCATGGGAAATCCGAGGGTCGTGAAATTTGATGTGTCTAACAAGTGTGGTGCTTCAGATACTCAGGTAATTTTAATCTTTAGAAATGTTAAAATTAGTTAGCTAAGTATTGCGTAATAAAATAAAACGATGTGTATCACCTAGTTTGAAGAGCATCTACCGCCCTTCCTCAATGAGGGCTAGTAATCTTCCGCTCAGATGTCGTTAGTTGATACTGAAGTGAAGTTTTTTGTTACACAATGTCATTTAATTTAGAACTTAGTTTTAATTAAAAGTTTATCATTTTTAGAGTGTTAGTACATAAAACAATGCCTCTGTACTTTTTTGCACTTACTTTTTTATGAATACCTGAGGTTTCTTTATTTATTTTTTAATATAATTAATATAAAATATAACTATATAAACATGGTACATCTACATTTATCCTCGATTAAGATTAAGCAGTTGCGTTGTCACCCCTGAGTACTAAGATGGAATGCCTAGTTTCCAGTAAAAAAGGGGTCTCCGGATCTCTACATTCACCATATGAAACACAGCAGTATTAAGCTGCTATTTTACGCTGGTATTCAATCGGTTCGACTCGACCAACGAAAGATCAAGCTCTCAAAGAATACCAAAGTAACTTTTTACTGGGAATGAGACATTTCATCCTGACAATTCACCTACATTCTGATCCTTAATCGAAGATAGATGTAGATATCTACGGGCCACAGCATCCGCTTACCATCAGGTGGACTGTGTCCGCTCGTTTGTCATACTTATTGTGTAAAAACCAGCTAGACTAGGATTCGAATATACTTTCACTGATTACTAGTGCAAAATAACTACATAATACTCGTCATCATCATCATCACCATCATCATCATCATTATCACAGCCTGCCAAAAGTCCACTGCTGAAAAACAGTCACTTCTACAGATTGCTTCATATATATTTGCTATATTTTTTACGTTTCAATTTTTTGAGTTATTACCATGAAGATGCTACTGCTCATCTCATTACGCGCTCGGCTTGCCTCGGGAAGCTCTTTCAAATTCGGAATGCAGACATGACATATCACATTGCATTCGATTTTCTGTCTTAATTAATTTGTTTTAAAGCGTAAATTGAATTCAAGAACGAAATATAAATTTTGTTTGTTGGCACTTAATTGATTTTCAACTTTGTTCGATTCATTTTAAAGAGGATATTCTCTTGCTTACAAATATTTAGAGTGTTGTATTGAAATTTAAAATATCCTTATTTATCAGACACACAGTCGTGCGTATATATATAGTCTTTGCTCATGTTAATTAAAGCTCAATTTCGTGTGTTTAAATTTTTCAGCTGACGTGTTCGTAAATGACACGGAAATTTGAGTATGTTAGATTATGTGCATGTGTGCGTTAAAAACACATTCTCTTGGTCTGTTTCCTTCTGCCGCCTCTTGCGACACCCACGCGACAGTATAGGGTAGTGGATACTCTTACACCGACATTACACGGGTGCATACAACTTGAGACGCATTTCGCATGTAACGAAACATTTCAGCTTAGTCTCCGAGCGAACAATGAACCTGAATTTTCGATCCTTAATACAGGATAGATGTAGGTGCACTGTGTGCTTATTCGTTACCCTTGTTTGTTATTTATATAAAATATATTGATATTGTTACGAGCTTGAGGTTTGTGACAATAAAAATTGCCGATAGAATTACCTAAATTAACACTTTAATTCACTTTACAATAATTAAAGTTAAAAAACACTAATAATCAATCACACTGATTCACTTTATTCCGCTCCGAAGCTTCGCGTGTCTCGCCAACTTCAAAACTTCCCCGATCGCGTATTGCAGCGCCTTTATATAGGGCTCTTCCACGAAAACATCCAGAATATTCCAGAATATTCAAGTAAATACGCGCGCCAACCGACTAAGCGCAGAAAGATCGAGTGTAGAGCTTCTAGAAAGTTTAGTTCTTCAATTTGATACGAGATGACGCTGTCGGTTAAAAAAAATAGTTATGTCATTTTCTGGAAGGCTCTCTCCTCGCTCTGTTACCCGACACTAGATGGCGCTAGAGCTAGCATGCCATGAGATGAGATGTCAACTTAGCCGCGCAACAATATTAATGAATTCTCCCAATTTTGTTCGATTTTCTTTTTTACGTGGTAGAACCACGCTGTAGCTATATTATGGTTGTAGTACAAATGTGTCGGATAGACCGGGGTAAAATAGCAACTTAATGCTGCTGTGTTTCGTATGTTATAGAGAACCTTAGACCCTTTTTACTGGAAACGAGGTATTCTATCTTAGTCCTTAGGGGTGACAACGCATCTGCATATAAAATACGAAAATGTTTCTACCTATGTCCGTTATCGACTTTGAAACCATGCACCCGATGTGCCCCAAAGCGGTTTCATTATTAAGGTAATAATGCGAAGATGGTTTCAGACCACTAAAACAATGTATTAGGTACTATACTCGTACCAGGTTATTTTTCAAAGAGTAGCCAAATTTTAAACTTAAGTTCAAATATATTAATATTGATATACCGTTATTACAGAGTTACCGTTTTTGAAAATACGAGTAAATATGGTTTCTACTTTTATTTGAAATTATCTTAAATTGAATGTGATTTATGGACAACAACATTTTTATCAACCGATCGAACCTAAAGTCGATATTACACGGTTCAATCAAATTGAAACAATTCCTTTGAAAAGCACACGCGGAAATTTCGTTAATCTGCAACTATTTAATAATTGAGTTAAATAAAAAAAAAAATAAAATCTTGGCGATAGTGGATTTCGAGAAGGATAATTAAAGGAGCCTCAAGCACCTAATTTTCGAAATAAATATAGCGAAAAATATAGCGTGCGTACGCTTCGCTATCATGCGGCGCGCGGAATGAGTCACCGTTCAATCTTCATGTATACACGTTTCAACCACATTGAACAATGACCAATATTGCTACAATTGCATTGAAAGAGTTCGGTGAATCTCAGCTTTCAATGAGATTGCACAATCGCATTGAAATGTATTTAGATGTATCAATGCCATTTAAGCAATTAAATTGAAAGCAATATTGAACCGAAATTGAACCGTGTAATATCGGCTTTACGCGGCAAAATCAGTTAAAATAATGAATTACCACGCATTTTGAATTTAAAGGTTAAAAAGACAGAAAGTTTGAGGTTTTTTAATTTAATTTTTTTTTCACCATTTGCCTAATATTACTTATTCCGAACCTTATCTGCAAGTTTATAGAAAAATTAGTAAAATTTCCTTTTTTTCCGAGAAATAAACAAAATGTATCTCTTTTGTTTAGCATACCTAGTAGCACACGCCGGGTATCCGCTAGTTGGGGATAAATAAAGATGTCTATGGGCCACAGCATCCACTTTTCACTAGATGAACTGTGTGCTTGTTTGTCACTATTAATTTAAAAAAATAATAAATAAATTTTCAGTGCGACCGAATGACTTGTCTATTCAGAGAGTCCGGTTTTATGAATGGGGACAAAGTAGACACTAAGAAGTTGATAGAGCATTTTAATGAATATAAGAAGCAATCTCCTGAGTGGACCTCTGCGGTGGACCAATTGCAGACGTCGTGTATCACCAACAATCTGCCCCCGCAAGGAATTTACATTAACTGCCCAGCTTACGATGTGATGATGTGTGCTTTGACCAGCTTCATCAGGGTCAGTATTAGTTTAGTTGCTGTATACCAATGTTTTATTTATCTCTTTATTGTTTTTTTTGTGTTTTTAGTTGAAATTTCTTTATATTGCGCATTATTATAAAGTTAGAATATGGGCATTGATATACTAAAAACCAGAATGAAATGATTTTAACGGTTAATATTTGTTTCTTTGAAGTATAAATGTTTTACTCAAAAACATAAATTTTAGAAACTTACATTACTCAGTAAATATATAAAAAATAAAAATATTAACTTCTTCTTCATGCCTTGTCCTACAAGCAAACTTCGGTCATAATATTTTATTGCTTTTTGGACATTGCTTTGTAAAAACAACTTTGAGTCATGCCCGTACGACTGAAGTGGCAAAAGATATGTTCACGAGTATATTATAACTATAACTACTTTGTATAATTGGGGATAGTTTCGTGTGTTACTTTTGGCCGAGACTGTGCATTTTGCGTTTTTTGTATATCAATGATTATGGGAAATGCAGCAAAGATCACATAGCCTTCGATAGATCTAGATATCTAGTAAAATACTTTCCGAGGTACATCTGTGGAGGTTACTGATCATCTGGAGCTTCTCGGCATTCAGTTGAGTGCTAACCTCAACTTTGACGCTAACATTGAGTCAACAAGGTGAAGCGATACTTCAAGCCTATTGCGCTTTTAACTGTATACTAAGCCTAAGTCTGAACATGCATGGAGTATTGTAGCCACCTTATGGATGGCTCAGCAAAATATCAACTTGCCGCACTCAACTTAGTGGAACGTAGAGCCATAGGTCTATCAGCGACTAAAAGCTGGTGGAAACTAATTTCCACAGCTTAGCTCACCGCCGCCAAGTTGGATGTTTGTCGGTCTTCTACAGATTGTACTTCGGAGAGTGTGCCTATGAGTACCATAAGGTCATACCGCCATCTCCGTTCGCCTATCAGAGTACCAGGCCTAGGTACTGCAGGTAAACTAAGCGCTATAAATCATATTTTAAAATGCGCTCAGCTAAGAAGTGGAATGCCCTGCCGGTGTAGTGTAGTACCTATAACCTGGACCTTTTCAAGGTGCGTTTTAACAGGATTCTCCTGGGCAAACTCGTTTCATCGTCAACCTCATATTTGCCCCTCGGCCAGATGCAGGCCAAGAGTGAGCCCATCTTTAATAAAAAAAGTGCACCGAAAACAGGTGCAGCGTTAAAGGTAAGAGTGATATGGTATTGCGATCGATAATTCGTCTATAATGAGGGAGTGACCTCTTTTAATGACCTCCTTTATTTAAGGGCTTTTTTGGTAAAAAATCCATGTAGAGCCATGCTGCCATTATATCTTGGTTGTAGCACTAATGGGTCGACTCGACCGGAGTAGGGCAACGCTCTCACAGAATACCAGCGTAAAATAGTAGCTTAATGCTGCTGTATTTTGTATTGTGAATGTAGAGAATCTAAGAGCTCTTTTACTGTAAACGAGACATTGCAACTTAGTCCTCAGAAGTGACAGCTCATCTGCATTTTGATTTTCAACCACGATTAGATGGATATGTCTTTGGGCCACAAAATCCATTTACAATCAGGTGGACTGTGTGCTCCCCTGTCTCTGGGTGGTCAAAAGTAGAGACTAGAGAAAACGCAAGGCAAAACTACGGTTTCCGATAGTTGGTGCTTTACCCAATACCTCGTTTACGCCAAGCGTAAAATATCAAGACCGACGACGGGTGACAGCGTCAAAGGTGTAAGTCATTTCATACTGCGTCATTGATACACCTGCTAAGCGTGGAATTAAGACAAATTCACCAATGAAGGAAGCCTTTTACGAGCAGATGAAGAATAAAAAGAATAACGATGGTTCGGTAGGCAGTGCCTTGATATCGAACTTGATTCCGGCATCGGATCCGACTACATTAAAAACAAATCCACAGTTTCTTTTTATGTAACTGTTTAGACAATTTTTTAATTGAGACTGAACAGAAAAAAGTTACTTTTGATCAAAGGTAAAAGCCGACATTAAAGAACTAAAGGTAATGAAATAATTTCATATTATTTGTATTATATGTGTCGCAGCCAAATAGGTTAATAAGCCTTTCAGTTAACAGCCTAGCCATTACATGGCTTCGTCAGCCTATTCATTTCATTCAACGGTCACCGGTCTGTGCCAATGTGCTATGTTATATAAATGTCCACTGCTTTAGGGATGCCCAAGAGCCCCTCATCCACACCTTAACCTACCGTCCCTGATATTACGAGATATTTACAATGTTGTATAAGAAATGTCGGCTGAATATCATTTAGGCCACTAATTGAACGGCGACGTTAAGTAAAAAGGCTAGGCTGTTAACTGAAAAGCTAATTAAGCTATTTGGCTGCGACATATATATATATATATATATATATATATATATATATCTTCTCGTCGGGTATAATTCAATACTTGAAAACAAGATTGTACAATCAGTGCGTGTTGCCAGTGATCACTTATGGATCTGAGACGTGGTCCTTCGCTGCTGCCCGTATGAGGATGCTCAAGGTCGCTCAGTGAGCTGTGGAGAGGGCTATGCTCGGGGTTTCTACGTTCGATAAATTTAGAAATGAGGATATCCGCAGTAGAACCAGAGTGTCCGACATAGTCCAACAATTAGTAAGCTGAAGTGGCATTGGGCCGGCCATATAGCTCGAAGAACGGACAACCAATGAAGGAAAAAGGTTCTCGAGTGGCAGCCGAAGGCGATGTGTAGGGCGACCACCCACTAGATGGAGTGACGACCTGGTAAGAAATGCAGGAAGTCGATGGATGCAGGTGGCTCAGGACCGTGCTTTCTGGCATTCCTTGGAGGAGGCCTATGTTTAGCAGGATATTGTGAAGGGCTGTAATGATGATGTTGTTAATACAGTGCTACCTACAATGAGTTGGCGTATATTGCTTCTGGATTTGCTAGACGGCTGGTCAGAATGATTCTGATGTACGACTTGCATTAGCATTTAGTACTGCTGTATCAGAGTAGTGTGTGACTCGCATTAATGATATGAAATTATACCATTGTCTATAGTTCTTAAAATAGCTTTTACTTTTTATGAGAAGTTACTTTCTTCACGGGTAACGAAGACTTACACCTAAATACTTAGAATTGACAACGTTTCTGCATAGTGATTCTTAATTGATGTTAGGTCTACAGGCCTCAGTATCCACTAACCATCAGATGAACTGTGTGCTCGTTGGTCATCATCACTTCCTACTGTTTCAGAACGTGCAACCTTCGCAGTGGTCCACAGATCCGAGCTGTGCACGAGCGCGTCAGTACGCAACACATTGCCCCGTGTGCCCCAACGATTGCTTTTCCCGTCTCATTCCTACTGGCACTTGCAACTCTTGCCAACTGCTGCCACGATCGCCATGAATTTCTTAACTAAAAATTATATAAAGTTTTTCTTGTATGGTTGTTATCATTTTAAATACAGAAGTACCACAGTTACAATAATTTCACTACAACTTTATTTTTACGATATAAAAAAATGAATGGAGAGGACTATGTTTAGACGTGGATATCTGCAGAATAAAAAGAGTAGCTGACATTGTTCAGTGGATCCAAAAGCTGAAATGATAATGGGTAGGTGTGTGTGTGTGTGTGTGTGTGTGTGTGTGTGTGTGTGTGTGTGTGTGTGTGTGTGTGTGTGAGTACGTGTGTGTGCGTGTGTGCGTGTGTGTGCGTGTGTGTGTGTGTGCGTGTGTGTGTGTGTGTGTGTGTGTGTGTGTGTGTGTGTGTGTGTGTGTGTGTGTGTGTGTGTGTGTGTGTGTGTGTGTGTGTGTGTGTGTGTGTGTGTGTGTGTGTGTGTGTGTGTGTGTGTGTGTGTGTGTGTAAACATGTACACATCTCATAACTTTGTAATGGAGTGTCCGATCGAAAAGCGGTTTGCGGCATCTGAAAGGGCCTCGCTGAAGATAAATTTTTCCTGCATTTACACCGAATCGGCACGATAGATTCCGTGAAAACCCCAAAAAATTCGAGTTTTGTTAATTTTCAAAAAGTGGTTTTCTTGGAAACCCTTGTTTTGATCAATTCTATAATATGAAATTTGGCACATAAGTTATTCTAAATCCAATATGATGGACGTCACAAAGTGGCGATGTATAGTTTTCATAATAACCCCTATGATATGGATATCAAATGAAAGTGCTTGAGGAACGAGACCAATATGGTTATAACTCGCCAAAATTAAGGATAATTTGCTGGTGGCGGATCTTAATTGGCTATCAAGGACTTAGTTGCTTCAATCTTCCTGTAATTTTGTTATCCCGGTGTTTCTGGAGTCCTCGATTTTTTAGTGTCAAATTTTGCAATTGAATTTTAAAAGTACGTCTAGATAAGTGACGTCATTATAATTCCAATATGGCGGACCGATCAAAGCGGACTGTGTTTTTTATTAATCCCTATGATATGGATTCAGACGATGATAACAAGAGGAAACCCTTTGTTTTGTTCGCTGAAACTAATACGAATAAAATAATGTCCGCAATCAGCTCTTTGAGGACATGGTGTACTAATGGCCAGCTACACGGTTAAACTAAGCGGGGTCATGTCTTAACTAATACACTGACCTACACCCTGGGAAAATTCTAGCAATGGTGAAGAAATCAAAATGGCGGAAAACAAGATGGCCGCCTTATCAAATTTAGACTTATAACTGTGGAGTGTAGAGATACTTATAACTCGTCAAAGGTTAGAGATAGTTTGGTAGTGCCCGAACAAATGTTGTAAAGACTGACAAGGGTGAAATCCTAGCGATAAAAAATTCAAGACGGCGTGGCAAATCTAAGATGGCGATCAAAAAGCAACAATCACGCATTAAATAAAATGAACAGACTTAGAAACATGTCAGAATAACTAAAAAATAAAAAATAAATTAATACTAAAAAAAAAGTTTAATAAGCAAACTTTTATTTAAATTCTCTAAAAAGAAGAAAGTAAACTTTAAATTAAATCGAACCCATCAATTTATTATTATATTACACAATTTATATGACAGAAAAGCTTGTCGCGAGATTTACCTGTGTACATAAACAAGAATCCAATATGTAACTTGTTAATTGATATTGAAATAGGTAGGTAATTCTAAGAAAAAATCATGTTTTTTATAAAATTGGAAAATCTCGCGAATAGATTTTATATCATATAAATTGTGTAATGTAATAAATTGATGGGTTTGATTTAATTTACAGTTTATTTTCTCTTTTGTAGAGCATTTAAGTAAAAGTTTGCTTATTAAAACGTTTTTTTTACTACTAATTTATTTTTAAGCTATTGCATAGCTTCTATCGCGGGCCTTGAGCGCGGGGACCGAATCCAGAAATTCCGTAACGAAAAAAAACCTCACGCTCCCCACTCCGACGGCCACGGAGGTGTGGCGTTGAAAGCCGTGCATCGTCTAACGTCGTTTCAGTTCGGCAGACTTCGGCACTCGGCAGACTTCGGCACGTGTTTGTGTGCGTGCGACTAGACGTATGCGTGTACACTAGCTGCTCACTCAATGATAAAAATTCCTGAATAACCTACATGTATTGTAAGATATTAAAAATATTTTAAACAATATTAACTTCTCATTTATTCAATAAGAGAAAAAAAATTGTTTTCTTATCGGTCACCACGCTCAAAAAGTGTAACTTGATTTAATATCAAAGACTTAACTGCATAAATAAAATAAATAAATGATTAAAATTGCATAAGTTGTTAAAAAATGCCATGCAATAGCTTTACCGCGGCAGTCACCGAGTGCCACACGTATTTTTTTTAGTTATTCTGGACATGTTTCTAAGTCTGTTGTACGTCGTACCAGGTGAAATTTGAAGCACTTTGCATTTGAAATGAGCGGGAAGTTGCAGGGGTAGCCCGTAGGGTCAACCGTTTTTTTACCATTATAAACCAGGGCTTGACTATTACCCCACCTGGTGGTGAGACATACATTTATAGCTTGAAGAACCACCACACCTGATGTGGAAGAAAAGTTCTTGAGTGCCTCACACCATTCTAGAACTTTTGGAACCTTCAACGGGTAAAACACCTTGTAGGTTTTAATGAGTGAGCTCGCAAATATGAAAATATGTGACATAAATAACCGTATGCGTTATCATGGAAGCTAGAATCCTTTACATCTTCAAGGACCTTGAAAATTATACAGTACAAAGAAACTCCAAACATAGCACTCCCCATAGCCCGCTGAGCAGCCTTGAGCTTTCTCATACGGTTAGCAATGAAAGATGTTTTAAATGTGTACAGGGTTATTTTTCAAAGAGTAATCAAATTTTAAACTTAAGTTCAAAGATGATAATATACCGTAATGATATACCGTTATTGCAGTTTTTGAAAACATGAGTAAATAAGGCTTCTACTTTTATTTGAAATTATCCCAAATTGAATGTGATTATGTAATTTATGGGCAACAACGTTTTTGTCTACCGGTCGACCCTTACGAATGTGTGCGTGCACAGTACAATCAATTCATCATCATGACAGCTCTTCACAAGTCCACTGCTGAACATAGGCCTCCCCTATGGAATGCCACAAGGCACGGTCCTGAGCCACCTGCATCCATCGACTTCCTCAACGGCACTCAAACTAGTGAGAGTAGAATACCGTTAGTATTTCGTATGGTAAGTGTAGAGAACCGGAGATGTTTTTTTACAGGAAACGAGGCATTCCATTATAGTTCTCCCGGGATTCTTAATCGAGTATATATATATCAACTTTCTTATTCTATGAAAAATCTTTTCCAACTGTAATGGCTTGGAAACGTCTTCCGGAGCAGCGGTGAAGAGTTTCAAGAATATATTATAGTCACCGTTTTACACTTTTCTGTACAGTTGTTGGGTTGGTTTCTTATACCTCATTTATATTGTTTGTTAAAAAATTACAGTAAATTTCTGAATACTATAATACGTTTTAAAATATGCATAGTTATCAATAGTAAGCTATCTTGGAAGACATGTATAAAATGTACTATATAAAATATAATAGGGTTTATACACAATTAGCTTTCGTAGTTTTATTACTGTGCAAACACTTAAGTATTTCGATTTACCTACCGACAATTAACTTGCCACCGCCGCGCACATTGTCTAAATTTAGACGGAATCAAAGCCTTTTTCATAGTCTACATACGCAAGGCAAAGTGGCAGATTGTACTCTTCGGACTTCTGTACAATTTGCCGAAGGGTATGTATGTGTATGTGATCTATATACTAAAGCTTGGTAATTTCATACTTTCGCGGTCCCCTTTTTTAGCTCTAGAAATTCGGATGATTTTCGTTAACGTTGAGCGGCGTGGTGCTCCTCTCCTACAATTCTCTCCCGTAGCGCAGTCGAGGGAAAATAAGCACGAAAGAGATGGCGGGGTCTATTCACTCGCTTCGCTAGCTTACTCGATCTCGCCATCTCCTAACCTAACCTGTCCGAGTCGGGATGCACTAAGTCCTGAGCTCGCTTCGCTCGATCTTACACTCAATAAAACACCAAAATAAAAAATTAATAAACAAACATTTTCAATGTTTTTTTTTAATGTTCGTTTTTGTGTAGATTATGAAAAAAAGATATAACAACTTCATTCGATTATTTGTAAAAAGTTGTCAACAATTATACGTGAATGAGTGCATTTTCATGAACTTTTAAAGCCCTGAAATCAATATAAGTTTTAATTTTTTTATTCCTGTAATTTTTCCTAAATCCTCAATAAAAACGAAGATTTAAAAAAAATCATCGAAATCGGATAATTTTTAGATTTTCTAGAGCCCAAAAACGAGGGGACCGCGGTAGTATAAAATTACCTAAAGCTTTTTCGGAAACTAGTTTGTTCGGGAAGCTGGAAGTCGTCAAGTTTGCATGCGTAATGACTGACAACAGCATGCACGCGACTCAGAAGGGAAATTGGTCTATAGTGCTTCAATAGAGTATTGTCGCTTTTCTTGAAGAACAAGTACAACTTCTGTTTCACACCTCCAGACTAGTGCGACCGTATAGGACGGAATTGAAGACTTTAAACAATGGATTTCCGTTGTTTTTTATAATCCTTCAGAATTTCACATTGCTGAATTATATCTGTGTTAAATAAAGATCTCTACTGCCTACTTTCAAGGACTAAAATTAAATACATTCAAAACTTATTCCTAGTGCCATAAACCCCTAACCTTCCAACATTATTCCCGTAACAACATTATTGAGCGGAGTCATCCTTTCTTCGGTTTTCCCGAAAAGCTACATCTTGCACGCATGCGTGAGTTTGGATCTTGCGCGTTCTGTGACACCTGTCAGCAGAAGGCAGTGCCATCCCTGGCTCCTGACGAAATTGAAGAATTTTATGGGAAATATCCTGTATTTAAGCTGGGAAGATCATGTAATTAATATAAAGG